ATTTTCATAAGAAAGAATCGCGTAGTCCAAACGCTTATCACAAAGAAAGAACCTATCCTAATTCTTTATTCCAAAACTATCCCCAATTTTCCATTTTATTCCAACTATCCCAACTTTCCCCTTTTATTCCAAAAATACCCCAATTCTTTTTTCTTTACATTTTCCCCGTGGACCTGCGCGTATATATTCACAAAACGGCGAAGAATAATCAGAGCGAGAAGAGAAAATATGCAGATCTTCGTCAAAACCTTGACCGGAAAAACCATAACCCTAGAGGTTGAGAGCAGCGACACCATCGACAATGTTAAAGCCAAAATCCAGGTCTCTCTCTCTTTCTCTTCTCCGACTTCGAATTCCATATGTTTTTAGGGTTCCAGGGTTTTGTACTGTGCGAAGTTTCTTTGATTTTTTCAATTGCTGGATTTGAGACTCAGATAAGCGAATCCCTAGTGTTGATTTTAGGATTTTCTTGTCGGATTCTGTTTATGTGCAGCGATCTGAGATTCTCGATCAATTGAAGTTAAGAATAGCTTAACTTACTCCTTCATGTGTTTGCTTGATTTCGTATTTGATGATGTTTATGGAAATTTGGAAGTTTGTTTTTTTCCAGTAGAGATTCCTTGTAACCTTAGAGGAGGATCTACTTTTTCATGAAGCATATTGATTTGAATTGCTTGAGAATGGATAAGATCAAAATTCTGGTTTTTAATGACTGAAAAGAATCATTGAGTTAATCAGATGGATTCGTTATCTCGATGTTACTCGTAATGATCCTTTTGATTTGGTCACTTCCTGATTGATGTTTTAAATTGATGGGATTGTTGAAAACAGGACAAAGAGGGAATACCGCCTGATCAACAGAGGTTGATATTTGCTGGTAAACAACTAGAAGATGGTCGAACATTGGCGGACTACAACATCCAGAAAGAGTCTACTCTTCATTTGGTCTTGAGGCTTAGGGGTGGGACCATGATTAAGGTGAAGACTCTCACAGGAAAAGAAATTGAAATTGATATTGAACCGACTGATACTATCGATCGGATCAAGGAACGTGTTGAGGAGAAAGAAGGCATCCCTCCTGTTCAACAAAGGTAATAACATTTCTTTTTCCAAGTACTTCAAAAGAAAGAGTCGCAAAGTTTTGTCTATATTTCTAATGGAAAAATGAGTTCCCTTTTTGGGTATAACGAAAGCCTATTGAACAATATCAACTCTTTTCTGCGACTTTATGCTCGTTGGGTTTGTTCGTAGTTTAGTCAAAACTGATTCTATAAGACATTGTTTGCGGTTTGTTGCAATATAAGTGACTTGATTTTCATGTTTTAGTGGCGTAAAAAGTCTGTCTGGTGAAAATTGCATCTCCTTGCGATTTCGGTTTTCTTATGTTTTTGGCATCAGTCGATTATACAATACATGCAATATAACACTGATTCGCACGAGTATTTGTCGGATGCTTATGATCTTCGTTGATTTTGGCAGGCTCATCTACGCGGGAAAACAGCTAGCTGATGACAAAACGGCGAAAGACTACAACATAGAGGGAGGATCTGTTCTTCATCTGGTTCTTGCTCTTAGGGGTGGTTTTGGTCTTCTCTGAAGAAGTAAAACTCTCTCTTATCTCTCTTTGAAGAAAGAAACCTCTTTTTTTTTTTAATGTTTATTTTCTTTCCAAAGCTTCCTTTCTAAGTGAGTGCAATTTGGATATGATGATGATGCTTTGAAAACAACTTACTATGGTGGTGTTTCAGTGGGTTTGGTACATTTTACCAATAATCTGTTCAATATCGAATCATATGTATTTTAGAGAAATATTTATTTGGATTTAGTTATTTATATGAATTTCATGTCAAGAAAGAGGCCCAT